CAGTAGGTATGCAATGCATGCATGTGTGTGTGTGTGTGTGTGTGTGTGTTGAACTCCAATTGCACTGACCGCGGGGTCCCCAAGGATCAGGGTCTGTGGCAAACTGTGTGTTTGCTCCAGACCCACAGCAGATGTCATCACTTCACAACCAGCAAGGGTGCCAGGCTCCCTTCACCTTTCCTCCCTGGGGCCCCTACGGGCTGACCTCAGGGTTATCTCTCAGGTCACGTCAGGGAGCCCTGGCTCACCTTTCCTCTGCTGGTTTCCCCTAACACCCACCCATGCCAGCCTCTGGCTAACCCCACCCTGTTGAGACACGTCAGGCTGGGCCCAATGCCTGAAGCACACATGGGGGCAGCTGTGCTCAGTCCAGGAAGATGCCTGTGGTGTGACCTCCTGCATCACTCCTGACCCAAATCCGTAGAGCTTGTCCAGGGTGCTCACACAGCTCTCCTCTGGGCCCCACACAAAGTCTGCCCCTTCCAGGAAGCCTTCCTTGGTGCTCTGACCTCGGAAGCAGGAGATGTGGGTTCTCTCACACGTCCCCATCCCACATCCCAGCAGGCTCATGCCCAGATCCTTGGTGCCTCAGGACTGCAGAGGCTTCCTTAGTCACAAACAGGGAGACTTACCTGCCTGAAGGCAGCAGGTTGGCCCCATGGGCTGCTAGCTCCACATCCAGAAACAAACTTTATGAAGCCAGATCTTATTCTGACTCCCACCCACCCGCACTGTCCCCTCCTTTTCTGAGTTCTGCTCGCTGGCGGGGGTGGGGTGCTCACCTCACTTGCTCCCTGCTGCCTCAGGGAGCTTGCACGTGCTCTTCCCTCTGCCAGCAATCCCCTTTCCCTAAGCATTTCAAATACAGCACTGGAAACTAGTGGCGAGGGCAGCAGATGCAGGGACTTGGCTGGGAGTGGGATGGAGAAGGAGGACAATTGTGCAATGAAATGGCAGAACATGGGAAAATAAATAATAAACAGCAAAAGTGCTGTCACTAATCTGCTGGGTGACTTTGAGTGAGTCCTTTTCCCATTCTGGGCCTGAGAGATAAAAGGCTTGAGTTCCATATTGCCACAGCATCCTGCTCCAATCATGAGAAATAATACAGTGACGTGTGCATGGAGTGGGAGGGCCCGTGCGTATGCGATAGAGAGAAAGAGATGGGGGGAGTTTCTCCAAGCACACATAGGACCCATTTAACCAGATTCTGCTTCACCTTCTTTTCTTTAATCCCCAGAGATGTGACTTGCTCAGTGAACTGCCACTGAGTGCTCCCAGGTGCCTACTGGTGTCAGGTCCTCTGCTGGGGCCCTGCTTCTTACAGACGAGTCCTTCCCTTGAAGGTCGTCATGCCTGACGACCATTAGCAAAGCCTTCCTGTGTCTAAAGGATCACTCACTCCCTGTTTGCTCAAAGCTTAGGACGCACAGCCTCACTAGAAGGTTTGGAAAGCGCCCTGCGGTGGAAGGTACGTCACTGGCATGCAAATTGGGAGGCTTAGATGGCAGATAAAAGATTGGTTTGTGTCACAGGCAACCCCAGCCAGAGTGGTGTCTTGTTACGGTGTCTCTGGGCTGGACTCGGTGCCCCTGGAATGTGAACTAGATGCGCAGTGAGGTTTCCTGTTGATACTTGTCCTGGCAGAGTGGTCCACTGGCTTAGCTGCTTCTCAAGTTGCACAACACCTGGGCCTCCCAGCGGGCGCTGCTGGTGCTGGAGGGCAGAGAAGCCTCTGCCTGCAGGGCCGGTGCCCTCCTCTGCCCACTGCCCGAGGTGAAAGGTGGATTCCCGGCCAGGCCCAGGTCAGGAGGTGACTGGGAATCCAGGAACTCCTCTCCAGGAACTCCCCATGGCCGTCCAGGGAGGGGCCTGGTTGCTCAGAAGGGCACATGGCAGGGATGACACTGGCAAAGCAGGGAACAGTGGGAGGCTAGGGAGGAGGGAGCCACACTGCCATCCCTTCCTCAGGGGAAGGTGTGGAGCAGAGCCACTAGCCTGCCTGAATCCTATTATATGCAGGGCAACCTGTGAAGACCTTTCCCATATTCCCTGTCGGCCTTACCATGTAACTGAGAGGAAAGGTGAGGATGTGGGAGATGAAGTGACTTGCCCTGGGATTGTTTTTTTCCAAAGTTCAGGGATCTGACCTCTAATCCAATGTCCTGTCTGAAGGGCTGTTGGCCTGGTTGGAGCTCCCCAGAAGCCGGCAACAGGCAAATATGCCTTAGTTCAGGAGCGCCAGGGGCAGCCCGGGCTATCATGGCCCATTTAGAGGGCTCAGCTAACTTCAGGGTGTCCTGAGGCCACCAGCCTGGCTGGGAATACTCTCCTGCCTTCTTTCCAGCCTTCTGTGGGAGCTGCGTCCAGCTGGGCAGTGACTCAGCAGCCCTCATTCCCACGTGTGTGGGAGGGCAGGCCTCTCTCCCCGCTGTTGGCTTGGCTCCGTTGGCCCGTCTGGGGGTGCCCCGGCGGCCAGCCTGCCATCAGCAAGGCCCTGGGACTTTGGCCAGCCTTCCCACAGCTCAGTCACAGAGTTTGCTCTCTTTCTAGCCCTCCAGCCTTTCCCCCCGAGACTGGAGGGTCACTTCTAAGTTCTTCTGGACACCTCAATCGTCGCTTAGCCAGGGAGCCAGGTTGCGGGTGACTTCCTTAGCACCGTCCCGAAAACACTGTGCTGTCCTCAGAAGCAGCCCACCTCCTAGAGCAAATAGCTTGTTTGCCAGGCTCACGGGCCTCCCTGCCTGCTCAGAGTGCGTCCTGTGGTGCATGAAGAGAAGGAATTGAGCAAAACGCAGGCAAGAAAACCAGGGAGGGCAGTGGATCTTGGCTGGACCTTTAACGGGATGTATGGGAGGGTGAGCTACGGTGAGATCGGGCAGATAGGGCACTAGCCCATCTGCTCACGACCAAGAGAAACATCACCCCACATGCCCTGGCTCCAACCCCAGGGATGGCGTGCTGGCGGCATTGGCATAGCTGTGGAAGCTTGAGCAAGGCTCGTAAATTCTCAGACTCCGTTTCCACATCTGTAAAATGGGCATGCTAATGCCTGTCAGCCAGGTTTGTTCGACACAACACATACAACCCTTTTACTAAGGGGCTTGGTGGAAGGCCTGCTCCAACATGCTTCAGACGTGGAGATTGCTCTCCATCCTAGATGTGGGTCCAACAAGATTTCTGCAATCTTTTATTGGTCTCATTTCACGCTCATCATCCTGGGACCCTGTGGGAAAGGACCCATGAGGGGCCTTGCAAATGCTGCAAGTGCCAGCCGCTGCTGCTGGTCTTCCCAGCAACTCTCAGGGAAGCAGGGTAAGTGAGGAGCCTGGGTTGGAAACAGGAAATACTTTGCTAGCAGTCATTCCATAAGTTAGGAATATTACAGGAATTCTTATGGAGCACCAACTATGTGTCAGCCACTAAGAGAGACACTTAGGGACACTGAAATGCCTAAGACATGGTCCCTGCCAAAAATTGGCCCATGTGGCAGAGGAAGGAAGGAAAGAGAAGGGAATGTGCAAATGACCTCCATCCCAGATAGGTGAAAAGTAGGCTGCGCATGAGGTACAGACACCTCATCTGGGAAATCCCAATGCAGTGAGAAATCAGGGCTGCTCCAGGGAATAGAAAAGGCTGCACGGAGAAGGAGCAGGAGTTTGCAGGGTGGAGAAGGGAGAGACATGGTTTGAAGGTCCCAGGGGCTCCAGTAGGGAGCACGTGCCTGGGCTGACCAGGGGGCGGGGTCTCTCCTAGAAGACCCAGACATACTGAGGCGTCTCCATGCCAGCACATGTGGCTCCACAGGTATTGCAAGACCCCCATGGGGTGTCGAGACACATCCTCTGACCTAGATCTCTGCCTTCCAGGAACTGGTTTTGTGAGATGAGACTCATCCTGGGCATATGTAGACAGCAATTTTTACCAGCATGTCTCCAACTGCAGGTGTGGCCTATGAGATCTGATGTCACTTCCCTCCTCAGGTGACCCTGCCAGCCCCTCTGCCAAAGGGGACATAGGCACACAATTTTGCACATTGTTTCCAGGGGCTCAAGGACATCCCCTCACCAGCCCATCTCCTTTGAGGAACCCTCAATGGGGTTCAACTCCTGGGTTTTGCAGATGAGGAAACTGAGGCAGAGAAAGAATGTGCCTTGCCGAAGGTGTGTGGTGACTCAGGATGGAACAGGCCTAGACTTTTGGCTTCTGCCCCAGAGTTCTCCCATGGGTGCCTGCTGCGGCCACCTCCTCAATCTGTGCCTCTGCTCAGCTGCAGTTTTCAGCATCCTGCCTCAGGACCGAGGGGACAGCACGCACTTTCTATCCCTCTCAGCCATCGCCTCTTCCCGACCCAATCCTCCCCTCTTGGTGAAACTGCCTTTGCGCTTTCTTCCCAGGAGCACGGTCCCACTGGTTCTCTGCATCCTGGTGCCCCATCTCTGGGAAAGGCTCCACCATGCCCGCACTCACCCAAGTTGCACAGAGACATCTTTCTCCCCTTCTCCCCCTGCTCCCCCTCCGCAACCAACTCCTCACTGGACTGGCCTCTCGCTCAAACCCAGTCCTTACTGTTTATCAACAGGAATCCAGGCCCTCCTCACCTCTTGCTGCGGCCATTATCACAGCCAGAAAAACATTTCGAAAGCACACAAACATGTCACGGTTCAGCTTAAAATCTTGCAGAGGTGGCCTACGGCCTTGAAAATTAAGTTCAAGTCCTCAGTGTGGTCTACAAAGCCCCCCATGGCCAGCACAGCCCCTCCTTGCCATGTGCCTACATCCATTCTTGGCACCAGCTTGGCAAATCCTCCATGCCCCCAACCCCCTGAAGCCCATTTGCTCCTGCTGCTCTTCCTAGCCAGAGCAAGAATATGTGCATAGACCAGTTTCATACCCTTTAACCTTGAGGTCTGCTTGCATGCTTGTTTTTAAAATTCAGTTCCCTCTCGACAGTGATACTCTTAAAGGGGTCCATCCACTTTCCCACTTAAGGGCTTTTAAAAATCTATATGGAACACTTCATGAGTTTTGTCATCCTTGCACAAGGGCCATGCTAATCTCTGTATTGTTCCCATTTTTTAGTCTGTGTACCGCTGAAACGAGCACATTTATGGTTTTAGAAGATAATCTTAGAACCTTACACACAAGATAATCATTTGTAAACACCCTTCCACAGTAGTTTTCTTACATGAACAGACACAATTTTTTACATATAAGTACTTCTAGGGCCTGAAATTAGAGTCAAGACAAAGTGTAAATACAAGTGTCTATGACTAGCAACATGCAGTGGCTCATTTGCTGATGAATAAGTAGCTGAACCCAGAAGCTCAACCTAAAAATTTAACAGGAACAAGGGCTGATATTCAAAGTCCCAAACAGTTCAAAGTTGGGAGAGTAATTAAGAGCCACTGAGATGTGCTGTCAAACAGGCAGATGAGAGCCTGTGATGCCCCCTCCTCCCCTGCCTGGGCTTGGCTTGATGGCAGAGGTCACAAATTCAGCCCCAAACGAACCGCATTCCCTGGCTCCTAGAATTGGATCTTCAGCTTTCTAGAACAGCCCTTCCTGTGTTATGTCTGCAATGTGTAGAATCTGATAAGAAACTTGTTCCAAAGTTCAAAAACAACAGGACTTTGTAAATAGTTCCAAATAGAAGCCCTATTCATGCTGGGGAGGGAGTATGTGTGGGAGATGAGAAGGTCCTTCACTCAGACAACCAGAGCGGGAATCCCAGCACCACATCGGTGGACCATGGGCCACTTCACTTCTCTGCCCCTGGTCTCCTTACCTGCACAATGGGGATTATAACAGTACTTACCTCCTTGGGCAGAAGAATGATAATTTGAGTAAAACACGGAGCATACAGTATGTGCTCAGTAAATATTAGTTGTGGAAGTTGCCAATAAAACCAACAGTGTGAGCAGAGCAGCCATATATTTAATCAATATACATTAAAAATAATCTTTGGCAGAGTGAGAATATCTGAGCTGTGCAAGCAAATGGTATGGGCCAGCATCTAGAACTGCAGCTCAGGAAGGAGAACTCAAGCAGAGCTGAAAAGCCTGTGAGGGAGACAGATGGCAAGAGGAGTCGGCTGAATACAGCTCCAGGTCCTAATCCTGGAGCTGTAAATGTGACCTCATTGGGAAGAAAAAAAAAAAAAAATCTTTGCAGATCTGATTAAGTTAGAGAATTTGAGATGGGGAGATTATCCTAGATGATCAGGGTGTATCCTAAGTGCAATCACAAGCATCCTTACAAGAGACGAGCAGAGGGAAATTTGACACACAGAGGAGAGACTGTGAGGGGAATTGAGAACAGAGAAAGATCTGAAGATGCTGGTATTGAAGATCCAAGTGATGAGGCCACAAGCCAAACGATGCTAGCAGCTCCCAGAATCTGGAAGAAGTGAGAATAAATTTTCCCCTAAAGCCTCCAGAGGAAGCACAGCCCTGCGGACTCCTTGATTTTAGCCCAGTGATGCCGATTTTTGACTTCTGTCCTCCAGAACTGTGAAATATTAAACCTCTGTTGTTTTAAGTCACCATGTGTGGGGTGATTTGTTACAGCAGCCACAGGAAAACCAGCCAGGATAATGGCTCATGAGGCCCATTTTACTTATGAGGAAACATAGACTCAGAGACTCAGAGAGCAGCAGTGATTTGCACAGAGCCACACAACACATTAGCCCCTTTGGCCAAGGCCAGACCAGGTTAACAAAACCTGAACCACTGCGCTCCTGCTTCCATCTGCCCTGCTTCCTCCTGGCCATGCTGGGACCCCTGGGAGGTCTTAGACCTGAGATGCCTCTAGTTTCCACAGTGGTGTGTATTTGCCCCCAGGCGAATCTTGTTGGTGCCAAGCCCCAACCTGTGGCCACCATTGCCCTCAACCGTGATGTGCTCCCATTGCCCGTGTCACAGGCTGGTTCTGTGGGAGTGAACTCTGGGAGGGAGTTTGGGGTACCAGGGGTTTATTAAAGATCCGCACCAGTGAAAGAAAAGGAGAGAAGTTGGATTCAGCCAAAGGAGATTGAAGGCAAACTGTAATGCAAGTTTGACCAAGCCTCAGTCACCTGGCAGGGAGTCATCCTCTGTCTAGCTGAAGTAGCCAGGACTTTCCACTCCCATCATGCTGAGTCACCAGATGCAGGCTACCCCCAGGAGGGCATGACCTCAGAAGAAGTGGGTGTCTGCAGCTGAGGTAGACACCCTGAAGGAGCTGACAGCTGGGGCTGCCTGCCTGTCACGCTCCCTGCAGATGGGCAGCGGGGTCTTCTTGGGAGGGAGCTCTGAGTGTGTGGACCTACAGCTACCACTGTGTTCTGCAAACAACGCAGGCGTCTTCCATCAGCAGTTCCTAAATGGCTGGCCTCCCAGTGTAGGCTCCATGCTGCAGAGCGACCTCACACTCTCCATAACTGAAGTGCGTTCTGTGCTCACCTGGGAACTTGTTAGAAATGCAGAATGGATATTGGACCTCACGTTCCATTTTGAGAAGGAAGTAATAGACCCAGACATCAAGGCCAGCAGTGGTCTGCTTTGGTTGGACCCTAGAACTAAGAATGATTTTTGTACCTTTTACAAAGAAGAATATGTGACAGAAAGTGTATGGCCACAAGACCTAAAATATTTACCGGGTGACCCTTTACAGATAAACTTTGTTAGCCCTACCCTAGAAACTGAGAGTTATATATGCATCTCAGTCTCAGTTTCTTGCTGTCTCCCTCCTGGCCATTCCAAATGCAAATAAAAAAAGCATCCCAAGGCAATGGTAGGCAGCCCAGGTTGCTGTTTGGAGCCATCGAGGGCATTGCAGGGACCTTCAGACCTTCTGCCCTCACCCCACCATCTCCACACTTGTGCCCGGCAGCACACCTGCACCGCCGCTCCTCTTCAGCTCTGTCTGGGCTTCTCGTCCCCAGCGTTCCCTTCTCCAACAGGCCTTTCATCTTTGCAGTTTTTTTTTTTTTCCCCAACATCCCTGACTCTCTTGTGAAATGCAAATTAGTTAGCATCTAATTACTCACTCGGTGCTGCATCTAGAGCCTTCTCTTGTTAGGGTCCTGTCCAATGTCTCTCTCATCAGCTGAGAACTCAGCCCATTAGGAAGAATTCCCGTTTGCGGGAGGCGGGCAGTTCCTCGCCCCTCCCTCTCTCCCTCCCGGACTTGTCAGTAACCACCTCATCCGTGGATTCCAGAAACACACCTGCCGGGGTGGGGTAGTTCCACCCACCACTCACTCTAATTACCAGAATCGCTTCTGGGAAGAGTTGTGCCAGGGCTGTGCTGGGCATGGGAATGAGACCCAGCCCCTGCCCTCCAGGAGGCTGCGTGTGTAACCAGGCATGAGCCAGCAGAACAGTGGCTGATGAAATGAGGAACACGGTCTAGGGCACGGTGCAACCTTTCAACTGCGATGGGCTGATTTTCAACCTAGGAGGTAGATGGCGGAGAGCTGGAGTCCATGATAAGCCTTAGCATGCAACCTTTAAGTCATGGAGATGCAGCGTGGTACAGGAGGAAGAGTACAGGGCTCCAACCTACCACCTCTTTGCAAGACTCTGGGCCTTGAACCCCCTGAGCCTCAGTTTCCTTATCTGGGATTTGAAGATAATAGAGCCAGCATGGGGAAAATGAGCCTCTGAGGGTGAAGTGTCCGGCATGGGCTTAGAACCATGTAGGTGCTGAGCATGTGTTAATCCCATTTCCGTGGCCTTTGTGTGGCCAGGGGTGGTTCAAGACAGATGGAACTGCAGTTGAATTTCTGTCCAGGGAGTAGCCCCCACCTTGGCTCCTGCCCCACCCTCCCATCTCCTCATAGCCCACAGTTGTTCTCATCAACTCCATCCTATGCCAGCCAATCCTGGCAAAAGTCGAAAGGCTATTTGTCTACCTGCTACCTGGAAGAAGATTGTGCTCCACATGCCTTAGCTCAGGAGGCTTAGTCATGAGAGCTGGACTCCTGCAATCTAGCATTCCAGGGCTTGCCCCACAGAGGCATGCCTCGAGCCCTACCTTCACTGTGCCCTGGAGACCTTCTGGCCTCAGCAGTCAGCCCAGGTCTAACCCATCGCAGTCCCAATCAGCCCTGCTACTCTCAACTCAGCTGGCCACAGGCAGCCTAGCCTCTCCACTGCTCTGGTTACTCCTATCCAGACTGAACTCTGTTTTCCGAAACCCCCATCTCTCTAGTGCTTATGGTTTGTATGGGACCACCACGCTCTGAATTATCCTTGGGTTAGTTGCTGGAGAAATGTCATTTATCCATTTCTTGGGACAATAACATTGAAATTGGCTTTCCCAGGCCTGCAACAAAGCCAGGAAATGGAGAAATGTCATTTGTCCATTTCTTAGTCTGTGTGAGTGTGAATGTGGTCTTGTCTCTCCAGCAGACTCTAAGTGCCTTGAAGGAAAAGACCACACCAGACACCCTAAGATACCAAGCACAGCACAGTGTTGAGACTGACGGGCTGGGCGCACACCTTGGTGGGTGGAATGGAAGACCTGACATTCACCCTCGTGTGGCTCACTGGTGCCAGATCAGCAAATGTATTTGGTGGAAACTGGAGAGGGTAGGAGGAGAGAAAGAATGAGGGTTTATTGAGCACCTATGATGTGCTAAGCTCAGATGCTACTCAACCATTTCAAGCATGGGCTAACATTTAATGCCCACAACAGCCTTGTGAGATAGAAATTGTTCTCCCCCATATTATGGTAGGAACCTGGACCCAGAGGTATTTAAATGACCAACCCAAAGTCCTGTCACTACTGAGTGGTGGAGCCCAGCTCGAACCCAGACCTCCAGTGTCATGCTCATTCTGATTGGCCAGGTTGCCCAGCGCTCTCTTCCCTCTCACCCCAGCCTGGGTTGGCAAACCCAGGCCATTGGTTCCACCTGTTGCTCTGCTCTTGACCTCCAGTAATGTTTGCTCCCTCTTTCCTGGCCAGTATCTTGCACCTGGCACTGAAAATCTGCACCCCTGGGGAGGCCCAGCCATCCTGCATCTGGAACACCCGTCAGATAACCCTGCCTGAGGTAACCAGTGCAGGGCCCTTGGGCTCTCATCAACCAGCTGCTGCCGTGGTAGGCTTCTGTGTTCAAT